AACGGGAGTGATGACCAATATTGTCTCCCTGAACTTATCAAATACTTCTCAACAGTTAGAGTGCCATATTACTACTAACACTGATATTAACACTACTAACACTGATATTAACAGTACTAACACTGATATTAACACTACTAATACTAACATCAACAGTATAGTTAATGCATCCTGGTATAGAGACAATGGTAATGGGAACAGACTAGTATCAGACAATGAAGGAGTATCTATACTACCCATTGTGTCTGTTACTAATACATCATTCATTAGTACACTGAGGTTTAATCCAATAACATTGTCAACTCCAGTATCAACACTTGGTAATTACACTTGTGTAGCATGGATAGGAAATCAATCAGTTAGAAAAAAAAAATCAAAAAATGTACAAGTTTTGATGAAAAGTAAGTATTATATCATTAACTTATTTTATTTATTTTGTTTTATAGTCAATAATTCTAGAGATACTGTCAGTATGCCTGTATTGAATGAATATACAGCTGGTGACAGTTTTAATGTAGCTTGTATGATTACTGCTTATGAATTATCACCTTCTATTGCTACCAAGGGTACTGTTAATAGTATATACAATGACAGCATTATTAGGTCAGATGTATTTAACATTGGTGCCACTGGTAGTCACAAACCATCTTTAAACATTCCCTTCACTAATTTGAAATTATCACAATCAGGAAAATACATTTGTTCTTATACTCGCAGTATGAATAATTTATTTGTTCAACCAAGCGAATTGACATCAAATACTTCTGAACTAAATATTAAAAGTATGTGTTTACATTATTAGAGTGTAAGTAATTATTGGTTTTTATTTGTTACTATAGTTTCAACTAGCAACATCTCACTGGTTCGAAGTCCCAAAGAATCCTATTATAAAGTTAATAATAGTGTCATTCTTTCTTGCAAGGTTGCAGAACCTGACCCAACACTGGTTGATGTTGAAACTACTGCAATGGTTAAATGGGATTCTAGTAATAATATTTCACAGCAATATTCTGCTCACTCATACAATGAATATCTCAATCATACTCTTAATAATATAAAGCTATCTGATGCTGGAGAATACAATTGTACATATTATCTCAATAGTACTAATCCTTATATTATACCAAGTGATGTCAGGACAGAAGTAACTAATGTAACAATTAAAAGTGAGAGTTTTCTTTTTTTTTGTAAATATTTTTTTAATTTTTAGTTCCAAGTGGCATCAAAGCATCAATAACTCCATTAAAGTCACATTATAGTGTTGGTGATAGCATTGATCTTGTTTGCTCTGTCACTTATCCAGACTCTCCTCTTATTGATATTGACACTAATATGAACATGCAATGGCTCAATTCCTCTAATCACACTCTACACTCATATACTGGTATCAATAATAATACTGAACACACTATCAGTTACACTATCAATAATGTGTCATTATCTGATGCTGGAGAATATACTTGCCAGTATTATATATCAAGTACTAATAATTCATTTGTTCTACCCAGTGATAACATGAGAGCTTCAACTAATGTTTTCATTAAAAGTAAGTTATATGCACTGTGATGCTACAATCATTTTCATCCCCTCAGTTCCTAATGAGGAGATTCCAGTAATTTCTAATCAGTCTGTTTATGATGCTGGAGATGACATTACCCTCTCATGTTCAGTCACTTATACACGCTCTTCTTTCATTGATGTTGATACTAATTTAGCTCTACAATGGTTCAATTCATCTAATGACACTCTTAACTCCAGTACCATTATCAATAATAATAATGGACACACTCTTACCTACACTATTAGTAATGCAAGACTATCTGATGCTGGACAGTATACTTGTTCCTTCTTCATTAATAGTAGTAACCCTCATATAGTTAATAGCAATACTACCAGCAACTTCATCACAGTTAAAATCAAAAGTAAAAAAATTTGTTCATAAATTACTAAATTTTACAATAATTTTAACCTACAGTACCAAATGACACCACTCCATATATACTTGTTCATCCTTCCAAATCCTACTATAATGTTAATGATAACATTACTCTCTCTTGCATTATCCATTATCCTACTGATCACCTTATTGATGTTAATACTACTGTGAACATACAATGGCTAAATGATAGTCTAGACTCATATACTGAACTCAATGATCAAGACCAACACACTTTTAATTCCACTATCAGCAGTTTGAATCTAACTGATGCTGGAAACTATACTTGCTCCTTCTTTATTAGTGCACTAATGAACATTAACATTATACGCAGTGAAGCAAATGATAATTCCACAAGTATTAGAGTTAAAAGTAAGTATTGAAATGATAATCATCATTGACACCATTCCCTATTACTTTTTTAGTTCCTAAAGGTGAAAATCCCTCAGTTAATCAGTTAAAGTCTTACTATAGTGTTGGTGACAATATTACTCTAACTTGCTCTGCCACTTATCCTTCTTATATTGCTACTAATATGAACATGCAATGGCTCAATTCCTCTACTCACACTCTACACTCAAACACTAGTGTTAATACTAATACTAAACACACTATTAGCTACACTATCAATAATGTGTCATTATCTGATGCTAAAGAATATACTTGCCAGTTTAATATAAGTTCTAATAATTCATTTGTTCTAGACAGTGATTATGTCAATGATTCAATTAAAGTTTTCATTAAAAGTAATTTATTTGTATTGTGTTGCTATACTAATTATTCTTATTCTCTCAGTTCCTAATGACAAGATCCCAGTAATTAATCTCATTCCTGATCAGTCTGAGTATATTGCTGGTAGTGACATTACCCTCTCATGCTCTGTCACTTATCCATACTCTTCCTACATTGACGTTGATACTAATTTAACTCTACAATGGTTCAACTCTTCTAATCACACTCTTAACTCCAGTACCATTATCAATAATAATAATGGACACACTCTTACCTACACTATTAGTAATGCAAGACTATCTGATGCTGGACAGTATATTTGTTTCTTTTTTGTTAATGCAACAGTAAACAATGATGTCATACACAGTGAAACAACTTCTAGTGTTACAAATATTACTGTTATGCGTAAGTCATTACAGCTTTTATTTTACCTAAAATATTTCTATTAGTTTCTAGAGGTACAATTCCTTCTATAACTATTAGTCAAAATGATCCTCTATTTGGTGTCGGCAGTAATGCTATCTTGAGCTGTTCAGTTTACTATGCCTACTCCTCATTCATTGATGTTGATACAACAGTACACATTGAATGGAAGCATAATGGAGTGTTATTAGAATCAAAATCAACTAGAAATACATTCACTAATGTCAGCCTCGACTATCGTTTGAGTGATATCAATAATGAAGAATATACTTGTGAATCATATCTCAGTGCTACTGATGGTAATCCATTTATTATAAACAGTAGTATGACTAACAATACTATTATTGTTACAGGTTTGTCAATAATTAATTATTGATGTATTTGATCTATTTTATATTCTGTAGAGGCTTTAGCTGTACCAGTTGTGGTTGGTTTTATATTCTTTGGAATTATTCTTTTAGTAATAATTGGTGTGATTGCATTAATTATTTGGTAAGTCGTCTAATAATAGAATGTCATTAATGTTAATGATTATTATTTTAGTTGGTTGAAGATTCGAGGTCTAAAACCATCAGGTGTAAAAGAGAGTAAAGAATTGTATACATTCTCAAGAGAACTTACCAAAGAAGATACTGATATCACTGAGACCTATACACTAACTTTAACTGAAGGTTCTATATATGATAATATTCATAAGATTGTTTTCACCACCTTGCATGCATAGCTAGGTCCCACCCTCTAAGTATTTTTCAAATTGTGAGCATTTTTAAAATGAGCCAATTTTTCTTTAAAAGCAAAGGCTAAATTCCATGATTTTTTCTTAAAAATGGCTCCAAAATTACCCCAATTTTTTATTACATTTTCTGATATGTATTGATGTCCTTATGCTATGCAGAAAGTTTGAGCTGATTCTAAACTCAAATTTCAAGTTATGGCCATTTTTTTAATGAGCTAATTTTTGAAAAATACCCAAGGCTATAGCCCATGGTTTTTTCCAAAAAATGGCTCCAAAATCATCCCAAATTTTTATTACATTTTCTGATACATATTGATGTATTTATGCTGTGTAGAAAGTTTGAGCTAATTCTGACTTCAATTTTTCAAATTACGGCCATTTTAAGAAAACGCCAAAATTCTGAAAAATACCCAAGGCTATAGCCCAAAAATGGCTCCAAAATCACCTCAAATTTTTATTACATTTTCTGATACATATTGATGTACTTATGCTATGTAAAAAGTTTGAGCTGATTCTGAAAAATTTTTTTGAGTTTTGAGCACTTTTAAAAACGAGCCAATTTTAATCAGTATACTGAAATAATTTTTAATTCCTATAGAATTTCTCTATCAAAATGTTAAAGCTACTGCTAGCACTCACAAGAGGCCCATTAACAGTTTTCCTTCTTTTGTTAAAAGCTCAAAAAAAGAAATAGAAGATGAATATGAAGTGAGAATAACAATAATTGTATAATAATAACTGATACTTAACTTTAACATAATAGGACATTGAAACATTAGCTCCATCAAAATCTGACTCAATAGCTAAAAGTCATGCATTGAAGAACAGGTTTCAAAACATCAGCCCATGTGAGTTTATACCATTGCTTATAACATTATTATTATAATATATAATTGTCAAATATAATAGTTGATGATAATATTGTTCCATTGGTTGAAATCAAAGGACAAGAAGGCTCAAATTACATTAATGCTTCATATGTTTCTGTACGTTAATATTTTTTTAAATAAATATTGAACTTTAAACTTCCCATACAGGGATATTGTAGACACAGAGCTTACATTGCTACACAAGGTAAAGATCCATTACAAATAACTTGTTAATAATAATGCATACATAGGCCCCATACCAAGTACAGTAGTTGACTTTTGGAGGATGGTATGGGAATATAAACTACCAACTATTGTAATGCTAACACAATTAGTCGAAAAAGGAATTGTGAGTCCTTTATGTATTAATATAAAATTTAATTAAAATGTTTTTAAAGAATAAATGTGCTTGCTATTGGCCTGAAGATTTAAATAGTGAGCAAGACATTGGAGAAGGAATGAAACTAACATTGAAATCAGAGGAAGTGAA